ATTCTTGCTAGTGGAAATTGAACTTATGGCTAGTTATGTAATAAACGAATTGGTTTAATATTCGCCGCCTACGTACGAAGGTTGTCTGCAAAGTTTGCGATCCGGAGGTTAAGGGGGCAGCACTTCATAAGACCCCGATTGGGTTATATCAAATTTAACCAGAGTCATCTACTAGGTATGAATAGGAAAATGCAATGTTGCCTTAGCTCTCCTAAGGCAAGCGTTTCAATGTAAAGAGTACTGTTCAGCACTATTTATTAACGTATATGTCAAGCATATGGGAAAGTATGGCAAGAATTCTATACAACATTTGCCATAAAATAACAGCTAACACACACGGTTTGCGAAGATATTATCTAACTGGTCGCCCCTTTCCTGTAAGATGTAATGAGTGTGCACCTGCCACCAGAAAGTCCTCAGCAGACGTTCCACAAGGTAGCAATTTGAGGCCAACTCTCTACCTGATGTACAACCCACGGTCGTATGCACACGTACCGCACCACGTAGTCAATACAGATTCAAAATTATATTATCACCCTAGAGCACTCAAACTATATCGATATAATGCTATTTTCAATCCAGTAGTAAGGTCCTACGGAATATAATGAAATGCAGAGCCGGGTGATCATTTATAATTTATTAGAAATTTTCCGTGACCCAACTTGCCGGCAAATGCTAATGTGTTTTTCAACTTCCAACAATTATATGCGTTTTAACATCATTGAGCATAGAAGTATATTATTATTGAGTTTGAATAACAAAACTAATTTCCCCAAATGCAATCCATTCAATATGCACCAGTAGCGTAACGGAGTAATCCTACTTTTAAAATCACCGTATCATATATCAATGGAATTGCCTCGATTGCAGAATATAAAAGAAAAACATATATGTCGCATATTATCTCTTATTAGTAGACAGCGCTTCACACATTTTAATACCTATCTTTCATCGTGCGTATGTAGATGAACATTCGCTCATACACCTGAGGAGATTTTAGTTAATACGTTTGGTACATATTTTAATTAAGCTTGTTAAACCGAAAAAATTGAATAAAAAAAAATCTTCTCTGGCTTTTTTACTCATTTAATAAAATCCACAGATGCACACAATACGCAATACAATGCTTTTAGGTATATACATGCATACGTATATATATATATGTATGTAAATCGACAAGTTTGCTGGTATTGATAAATAAAAGAAATTAAAAGCAACACAAACAACAACAACAACAATATAACGTATATAAGTTACCGATATTGTTTTATAAAGTTTGCTTCATTCGTGTTGTTATTGTTGTTGCTATTGTTGTTGTTGCCGCCGCCAATGGAGGATATGGAAACTCAACAAGTGCTCGATAAATGGATGAATAAATTTGCAGATGAATACAAAAAATGATTAAATTGTTGACCGCAAGTACTCAATGGGAAATAATATATAAAATTGAAATTTCGGTTTATTGTTTTTATTGTATTTCCACCATAAACGCACAAAGCACCGAATGAAAAATAATTAAATCGGTATTTAAAACAGATTAAAACCGAATTGAAATGAAAATTTAAGTTTTTTTTTTTTTTTATTTCATTAACAAGAAGAAGAAAAAATGTTGAGCTTTAAATGCCGATATCAAACATGGCTGTCTTAACAATGATGCAGAAAAAAGAAGCATCTACTTTCATCGGAGCCTCGCATCCCGCGAAATATTGCAAAAAATAAATATTGCTTTTTATTTCACACATAAATAATAAAGCACTTTACAGCCGCACACACAATCGCCCATACCATTACCCTTGTGTCAGTTGTATATTATGATTTTGATATTTTCTTTCTTCCTTTCTTTACAGCTGATGCTGTGCTCGTGTTCTCTAAGAATTCGCATTTAATGTTCTATGAAAATTGTGTCTTTCTCAATTTCTTTTCAACATTTCCGATATGGCGTTGCATTTAATTTTTCTTTATAAATTTTCTTAAAATCGTTTCATTTATTTTCCATTTCACTTACTTATCCATTCAGTTGCGTTTACCGCCAAGTAAACGATGAACTAGTTTAGATGAGTATATGTCAATCAAGTGATGAGTAGCAGTGAAAGTTTCCTATGTCACCATTTCGCTTTAGAAAGCAATTTATACATAGAAAGAGTTTCACTTTAAATTATCTTCATATTTGATGTACATTTAACAACATCAATAAAAATTGAGAAGAACTATAATAATATATAGTTTGCATTGCACTATTATATAATCTGGTATGAAAAGAAATGATAAAAGAGGACTAAAATATCATCTTCTTTGTTGTATTATTATTGTATGCTCTAGGCCAAGATTTGTGATTCTTTGATTATTCCAGATGATCGTTTAAAGAATTTTGGTGACCACAATCTTCGCATTGACGATTGTAGAGACGTAGCTGACTTCAATGTTTAAAGCTATTACTTATGTCTATTTCCTTGCTCTCAATGAGGGAGAAAAATGAATGAAAAAACAGAAGTACATTATTGTCGGGCAAGACCGGCTATTACATACCTTATACCACTTCTAAGCAATTGACTAATACAATTATCCACGCGTCATGAAAGTCAGCAAACAGGTCCAATTTACTATTATGAACTAATTTTCACCATAAAATATTAAAAAATCTTTCTCTTCACCGTATAAAGATTCGGTTTTCGTAGAAAAGGTTAAAAGATTGGGGGTTAACTTTCATAGCTGTGGAGTCAGCTCATAATTACCGAAAAGTTATAAATTTATTGCTTTAACCTATAGTGAAATTTTCTTGCGAAATTTTACTGCCCCAGCCGGATGGAGTGAAAGGTTTGCCAACAATTGCTAGAAAATTGTATGCAAATATGATGGATTATCCAAACTTTATATTAATTTTTTTTAATTTAATTATTACTAGATCGTACGTATACGATCCTATACGACACCTAAAAATATCTATATGAATTTTAGCCCGGTCGTTCAATCAAATACCGCATGCAAGTAAAGGTCATGGGTATTCAATCTTTTATTGTATATTGACCGGTTGCGAAACATTTTCTGGATCGATTTCAGCTTTTCTCTCTGCCCGTCTTCAGGTTCGTCTTATTTTCTTGTATTTAATCGAAGGAGGACAATCGTTGAGATATTTTGATAAATGTGTTTTGGGCGAAGGAAGGGAGCTATTGAAACTGACTCGGATCGAACTACTTTCTCGACAATTCCCCATATAAAGCCTTATTTTAAAAGTGATTGTATTCAATGACGTATCGCGGCCCTGTATAGTGTTCTTCACTTGTTTATTCAATTAGTTGAGTAAATTGATTTGAGACGTTAGCTAATATAAAAACAAATTCCAAAGGTGAGAAAACTTATGATACAATAACATTTAATTGATATGAATATTGCGTTCAGTTCAATAATTTATCAAAAAGAACCTTAGCAAAAAGTATCGGTATTATAATAATATCCAATTGGAGCTTAAGATTAAAGTAAGCATTAGTTATGTATTTTTTAAATTTCTGTCACTGATTTAAATAAATAATCGAATGAATGCAGAAGTAAATAAATAAATAAGTAGATAAATCAGTAAATAACTAAATAGATAAATAGTGTCATTACACCATATGCTTTTCTCCTAAACCTAATTAGTGTGTAAATCATCTCTGTGCGAGTGTTTATTAAGTTGTTTGTATTTGTATTAGCATTTTTTTTTTTTTTTGTTTTTTTTGTTTTCATATAAACAAGCAAAGGCTATATAATCCATTTAGCAGACTTTGCTTCATTTTTTAATCATTTCTATCAATTAATCGATTTGCCCGGCCGTAATTAACGAATTAAATATGAAATAATCGAATATATTATATGAAATAATCAATTATTCTATTTAATGATAATATTAATAATTTTAAATTTGCACAACGCCAGCAAGGACATGAAATAAATGCAAAAATGAATTTAAAAAAATAAGTGTTAATACTGAATAATGACTATAGCAATTCTATTAAAATCGCTTCCAATAAATGTGCATAATATTACTTTGACCTATATGGCGCCAAAGGGAACTATGCAGTTAACAAGAAGAAGAAACAATCTTTTTATATTATATTGCATTTTGTTTGTAAAAGTGTACAAAATCGCAACAAATTCTTTTCCTTCCGATTTACATATTACTTAGTATATTGTATATTTAAGCTGATACTCCTCCTGATTTTAGTTTTTTTTATTAGTCAATTATGACAATTATTAATGACAATACAATTACCAAGTAATTATCATTATTATAATTAAAATTAATGTGCCAATAACACTTTAGTGTTTTTTTTAGTACTACTGTGAACGATGATAATATAAAGACATAGGTAAGATAGCTGTACTGTACAGCAGGCTTTGGTAATCGGTGGCCCGTGATTTGGTCTAGCCCGCCCGGCTTATATCATTCAATTTGCTCGCAATAGCAATGCTGGAAACCGGCTGTATCTGCCTTCACGGCCGGCTCTGCTTTGCAACTAGCAACTATGGTAAGGTTTTTTTAGGTTTGATCCCTAGGCCATAAAATGTCCGATTTAAAAAGGAGGAAAATTGATGCATAATAACGCATTCCTAAAAATATTTGGACCTTGTTCTGGCCCCTACAATGATATGAAGGTTGGCCCATTAATGAAAAGATTTGTCCACTCCCGTTGTACGCTATAGAAGCAAAGATACAGATGGGATTAGCAGATAATAAAAGGTCCTTCCAGCCACAATTTAAATTTGCCAGGCTTACAAATTCAATTAGTATTCTCAAAAACATAATAAGGAAGCCCGTAAGTAATCAATTATTTTGAAATCTATCACATAACTTTTTAGCAAATTCAAATTTTTATTTCTTGATTTATTGTATGTTATCGCCCATCATTATCAAGGACACTTTTCCATCTTTCCTCCAATTTTTCAATCCTCCTCTTATAGAAATCCAGGGTTCGCGCAAAGCAAAATACGATTCAAGATGCCTCCTTGAAAGGCTCAAGGCTTAAGGACGGTAGAAAGCCATTGCTCGGAATGCATGTTTCGTCTCCAGTAGCAATTTCGTTGTAAAACGGATCTCTACGAATTCCGGATTGGTTGACAAAGACATTTCCTCTTATCTCAGATAATAAATGCGTTACTCATAATCCTTGCCTATAAGCCTCTCCAATTTCGTGTGGGTATCTTTATATAGTGAACTATGCGGGTCTCAGGCGTCTCGTTAATTTTCGATCAGCTTTCACTAGAGGTTGCAGCAAAATTTCTAAGCCTACGTCGCTGACCTTCAATATATCTCCACAAACATCGCGGATTTTCTTTGTTGTTACTGTTTCGTTAAATCCCGCATTAAAATAAAAGAAAACGCAACGACGAATATAATCGAATAAGGGAACACATTTCTTTTCTCTTCAACGATCGCGAAAGAACTAAAGACAAAACAAATTTTTTGCTAATAGTTGATTACTTACGAATAAATATCCGTTATACGAGTTTTATACAATTTTGCAAAAAAACTATTAATACTTTCGATTTTTGTTTTTTTTTTTTTTTTTTTTGGTACATGAACGCATTTTTAATACTTACAGTCACCGGTTTTGTTGACATTCCTTAACTCTTGTGTTAATGTGAGTTCCCCTGTCGTTTTTATCCCACAACTGTTTACTGAAGTACTGTGACATTAGAAAATGTTTGTAGACCGAATGCTGGCATGAATGATGATAACCCAGAAAGCTAAGCGAATATAGGCGGAAAAGATTATCACAATATTTCACGCTGTTAAATACAAATGTAAATATTTTCTAACAGTTTTTAAGATTTTTTGTTCTTTGTTATATGAAAGTTGATTTTTTTTTTTTGTATTAAAATGCAAATGATAGTACTTTTGATGAACTGTGATTAAAACCAATCTGTAAAAAAGAGAACAGGAACGATGAGCAGAAAGACAATGAGCATCATTTGCATTTCCATAACCAGTTTGAATAATATAAGAAAGTTAGTAATGAATTATGCTGACATACGGAGCTGTGCGAAATGTATTTTTCATATACGAGCAGTTATGTTATTCATGTAAATAGAAATCGTAATAGGGTCCTAAACAAATAATAAGCGCACTCATGCAAATCTGCTAACATTAAGAAAATATTTGCATTATTTAAGCTTAATGTTGTTGCTATTTAAGACGTAAAGTAAATTGTCTGCCATGCTCAAGTCTTTAGTATGTGTTCAAAATGGTTTTTCATTCTCTTTTTTTTTTTTTTTTTTTTTTTTTTTTTTTTTTAGGAAATACGCCCAAATATGTGATAATAAAACAACACGCAACAAACATTTCGAAAGTTATCGCCTTTATTGTATAAATCCATCAAATGCATCCATAAATGCTCTGCCATCCCGAGTGAACATCAATGGGTGATGTGATATCTACGCAATTGTAGTAAGTGCGGCTTTCAGCAAAAGTGTCAATTACACCGGAAGTCATTCTTCATGAAAGATGTACAAATACCTTTGAGATTGCAGTCACTCCAAATTCACTCTTATATAAGATATGTGTGTGTCAACGTTATCTATGCTCTGAGTAAATTATTATATCTATATATATAGCTATGGCTACGGTTGTGTGATTTTGCCATCTTTTCACATTCATCGATTTTCAACACGCTTACCCATGTAAATATGCTCATGTGATGTATTTATTGGTAACGGTAGCAGATATATGCTTTTGATATATTGCTGGTATTGATGAAGACAATGAACTTAATAATAATAATGTTGAAATAAATAATAATAATAATAATAACTGTATTAATAACAATATAGGGTGATGACAGCAACAACAATTGATATAATATTCGTACATTTGCTTTTTCCAATTCATTGTTACGTATGGTTATTGATGAAGTTCATAAACATGCATACACATGCAATCGACATAAACATTTTACGTAATGGAGTAAATATTTAAAAAGTTGAAACACTTTAAACTACTCAGAAATATTCTAAAGCTTTTGCATTTAGTTTTCATACTCACCAGCGAGGGATGGCTTCATTTATCATAATGTTTGCAACACCCAGTAGACAGCTTCAGAGATCCCATAAACTATGCAAACTCTTGATCAACTCGAAATTCTGAATCGATTAAGCCACGTCTGACTGTATATAGTCGACGCTTCCCTGATCGCAAAAATGAAGACATCGGCTTCAAATTTAGAGAAATAAGGGGAGTTTTTGGTCGTGGGCTTTCATTGAAAATGGGCGAAATCGGTGTGAGCCCACATCCGCAGTAAAGCGCGGGCTGATTGCAACTCCATTTCTCTAAGAAAAAAAGTTATTGTTCATCACTCACAAATTATGAAATATAGAAAGTTGAAATGGTCCTCATTTAGTTTATGCAAAAGTTTATTCTTTTTGTGGAAAAAGCGGAAAAATCAGCCATGCCCACACAAAGTTATATGTATTATTAAATTTTCCATTTTTTACTTTTTCGAGATTTTATGCTTGGTTAGTAATTATTTATAGCCAATGAGTCAGCTAAGTTTCTTATTATTGTTGTAATAGTAGAAAAACCTTTAAAGGGTCTACGTTTTTCTCTTTTAGAGCCTATCGACTTTAATCAAATCGGAAAGAAATGAATTTCTGCTAAATACGTACGCAACTTAAGTCAATAAACAATCAATTATCAGCAGATTGTAACAGTAAAAGCAACGGCGATCATCGGCTTATATCCTATGCACAGCAAAGGGAAAAACCCGCTATTTGAGGAGATATGATGGTGGACACAAGCAAACAAGCAAATAAGGATAGGTCTTGGTGTTTTTATTTCTGGCTTCAGCTTGCATTCTTTCTGCAACCCACACTCTGTTACCAACATGAAAGTTGGGATCATAATAGACTAGAGGACAGGATCGCAAAATTCAGTGGCTTCCACTAGGCGTGGAAAAACCGTACATTATATCAATTGACTAGTAATAGTTTGTGAAGAGGGGAGAATATATGCCTCTAGGTTACTAAATACTTCGACGATTGTCAACTTTGAGCGCCGTCACACCGGTTTCGATTGGGCCGTTTTAAAAAGCTTGTACAATAATTGTTAATAATGATAATCAGAGAATATTTTGCCTATTGGAACAGTAAATACTATATATAGATCTGTCATACTACAGCTGTAGCTAGTTTATCGTACATCATTTGCTCGAACCGCAACACACAAATATCGTATATTTTGATGGTATTGTACATTTAACCAGAGATAAATAATATTCAATTTAATCCGGGGTAAATTTTGGTGCCGTCTTGCGCTTGACGAGACGAATCTTCCTATCAATTTATGGAATGATAACATACATATTAACGTATATAGCTATCCTATTGAAAGCAAAGTGAAGATCCTTAGTGTTAAATACAGTTTACAGTATTTGAGACCGTATTTTGAAACAATTCTTCATAGACTCAAAGCTACCTCATACATATTTCGTAGCGTTTGTAAGTGATTTTATGTATAAATATAATGACGAAGACGAATGTACAACTACAACGTTGTTGTCTATCATTTAATTACATCAACTAGTTTTCCTTAGTGTGATTGTAGTGATTGAAATCCAAAATGGATCATTTTCATGACTAGCTCGAGCATCGTTTGATTGCTTAAGCCAGCATTTCGTACTTGATATGAACCCTGGATATGGAGGTGAAAACCTCAAACCTGAGACATCCTCTTAATAGTTAAATTTTAAAATCGAATGAACAGCGGCCCATAGTGTATCTCGAACATTGAAAATTTGTTCTTCAAGCCGAGAGTTTCCCTTCCGTGTACAACGAACGACTTATCGTCGACGCTAAATGTCCCAAGAGTGTTGTAGCATATTTTACGCTTCTTTTTCTTTATGTTTTTAATTATTGCCACTTTTTATAAATCATTTACTACCAATTATAAATCAAAGGGAAAACTGGAGCAGAACGCAAAAAAAAAAAAAATAAAAAAAACAAAAAGAAAAAGAAAAAATCACAAACCGACATATGTTACCCATTATCTTCTCATTGTCTGGTTACATAATTCCTCTCATTTGCGGTCTTCGGTCTCACCCTTCTTTCATAATGCTCTGTAAACTACAAGCATTCATTTTTCATAAAATCTTCATCTTTTTTTCTCGGCTTTTCGCTCTCGGCTTTTCTTTCTTTGCTGCTGTTGTTGTTACTGCTTGTGATGCTGTTTGTTTGGCCACAAGATTTTATCCTATAAAATTTTTAGAACAAAAACTCAAAGACCACCATACTTACAATAAACTTATCTGGAAAGTATGAGAAATCCCTTGAAACGATTCAGGCTAAACAACAACAACTATTACTACTACTACTACTACTACTACGATTACTGCTACAATGCCACTATTACAGTAACAAGTAAAACTATAAGGCGAAACTTTTATTACTATTACGATAGAAATGGCGTAAATTATATAGCAGACAACTAACCGGTGTTTTTGATGAAAAGATGATGAAGTTTTTCTATTTTTTTTTCATACTTTCTTAATTGCTTTCTTTTTCACCCTCGCAGTTTGAGTGGTGGTTAGAAAACGTTTGACTGTTTAATGTTAAGCGAGTAAGTTTTTTCAAAACCATACTGCAATGAAATCAGTTAAGAAAGTGAAAAATTAATTTTAATAGAAAAAATCAAAAATAGAAATGAAACAAGTGAAAAGACTGCAATGTGATCCGGTCCACCGTTAAACACCTTACACAATTTCGTTTAACAAAGTCATTCATGTCATGATTTTTCAAAAATGAGACGTTATATGAGCAGTATTAGAAAAGTTCCTCTGATCCGTACCATTTTCGACAGCATTCACCCCTGAGCCAGAATGCGTAATATTTCGAAAATTACGAAGTTGAACACAAGAAAACAAGAGACACGGACAGACGGACAGACAAGCTTAGATCGATGCAAAAAACGATTCTGAACCGATCGGTATAATGAAAGAGATGTCTATCTCTTGTCCTTCTGTGTGTTGCGTACATCCGCACAAACTTAATATACTCGTGTAGGATGTAAACGCTACTACTTGGAATTGTTGAAAACTATAGATGCTTCATTGAATTCTCGAGTCAAGTAAATATTAAATCCAAGTCTCAACATCGGCAAGAAGTTGTCGGTTATATAATAATATTATGTGTTGATCATTTTTATTCTCTTTATGTGACTTTAAGTCCATCATTATTATAATGAAAACGTCCACTAGCAAACTTGCTTTGCATTATGAAATCCAAAATTTAGTTTTCTCAGCCCGAGGTTTTACACCTTTAGCTGTTTCTACACATGACAAGCAGACAAGCGTAGAGATAGTTGTGTCTGTGTAATGGTAGTTGATCTGTTGAAACAAACATATTCATGTCATCTTTATACTTTACGCCATATATGGTATAGCGATATATTAAAATTCTGCCTTTGTATAGGAGAACTAGGAGAGCTTGCGATAAATCCAATGTTTATGATATCAAGGGATTCAGAAAGTGATTCCAAGCTTGTTTGTCCATCTTTGGCCCCTTTGTCCAACTTACAGGTCGCAATTTTGGTGATATTTTGCTAGGGGAGAAATTTTAATTGAAGAAGGTACGCTTCGTAGTACTTTTTCAATCGTTTCCCATATGATGCTCTATTTTAAAAAGGTTGTTATATGAAACACATGAACGAAGAGAATTGGTATTGACTATTTAAGGGTAGTTCGCGGCTCACCGTAATACTGTTATTTGTTCGTAACTACATTTCGAAAAAATTTCATCTGTAAAGCATTATTTAAGCCTTTAATGCTACTATCATTGAATCATTAATTTCATATTCCAATCGTAGTGCTTGAAATTAAAAAGAAAAAACGTTTTTTTAGTTAATATTATCTCATGAAATTTAAATAACAAATTATTCATAAAAATGGTTTTTCCATATTCGTATGATTTCCTATTATGTTCACATTGTTATTATTTTGTTTATTATTATTATTATTTCTGTTATGGCTACACTTGCTATTTTATTTTCGCTACATTATCAACTAATTAGTTAGAAAAGCTAATTAAAAATTTATATTATTTTGTTGTCGTTGCATGTTATTTATATTGTTGCTGGCTATTTATATTATTGATAAATACTTTATTAAATAATAACAAAGTAACATTTTCCAAACATCATTAATAAAATCTTACCGTAATATTTTCTCTATCAAGACCAAAAAAAAGGGAAAAAAAGACTTTTAAATTAAACTTTAACGGATATGAAGCGGCCAGTAAAAATTGTTCGCTGAAAAACGTTTAATGAAATTAAATTTGTACATGGCGGCAGCGCTAAAGATTGTGCTTTAAAAATTGAATGAGCCTGAAAATGATGGGGCAGTGCGACGAGCGGATGCACGGCCGAATGGACAATAAAGCTGGACAGGCGGAAACTATTGGGGTAGAAAGGGATAAAAAGGATGGATGGACAAATAGGAAACCGGCATGAACGCGTCGATTTCGGGAGTGACGTACCACAAGTATGACGGGCATGACTAGATAGAACCAGAGAAGAAAATAAAAGAAACGCAAGTGGGCAAAGCATATGAACTATTAGACAAACATATATGCCATCTGTTCAGCAAATACAGAAATAATGAGACTAGAATAGCAGATGATTAGGCCAACCTTTTTTTTTTTTTTTGATGTTATCGCATCGCTCAGGGAAGTAATGGTTATAAAAAAGTGAAGAAAGAAAAAGAGATAGGGAGAGAGCTATATCTTTAACGTCGGAGCATTGACGAGCAGCTGCGACCAAAGTGAACTGTAACGTTTCAATCCGTAATCAGGGACTTGGCAGTCATGATTTTTACTTACTAGGCCACTTATGCGGAAATAGGCGGAATATGATCGGTAAGTTGACATACACAAAGCCAAAGCAAGTGATATGCTCTTGGATATTAAAGATAGAAAAAAAACATTTTTATTTTTTTAGCGTTTTTGCTTTAAAACTATATGAAACAATATATAAAATATTTGTAAAAAAATTAAAATATATGATGATATGATGATTGAGGCGCATGAATAGTTTATTGAGTTTTAAGAGACCTTTTTTTTTATATGTGAGTTTATCATAAATGTGACATGTCTTACATGATAATTTCATTTTTAAAGCACTTTATTTTAAACTACATTTTGAGAAGTTTAAAAGTGCCAAAACAAAGAAGAATACCTTTCTTACCATAAAGTATTTGTGGCTTTAAAGTAAGTCAAAACATACAAAGTAATATTGTTGCGGAAGAGATGATTCTCATTTTTCATTGCATCCCACATGGGATTCATTATTTTTACCAACTGTGTTCGCAACGAAAGTAGAAATATGCAGCACAGACCATATCAAATATATATATTCATGATTAGTGCAGCAAATAATGCAACTTCTCAAACTTTTTGTCTTCAGCAAAGTCATTTAGGGGACAAAAAAAAAAAAAAAA